AAATTAAACACGCAAGAAAAATGTTTTAGTTAACATAAAAAAAAAAAAAGTTGGGGAAAAAAAAAAAAAAAAAAAAGAAGGTTTACTGAACCCTGTAGCTGAATTTGTCAGATCAAACACACAGACACATCCTAACAAACAATTGATAAAACTATGCATGTCCTGGATGACTCGTCAGAAATTAAATATCTTTTTTTTAGCTAGCTAAACTCACACTGAAGCAGCATTTTAAGGAGGCAGGAACTTAAAAGTTATTTTAGACATCCCTGTCCAAAATCCTCCAGGACTACTGACAAAAACCGCAAAGAAAGTCTCGCTCCTTCACAGCAGAACGCTGTTCTGAGAACCCTGGAGTAGCTTGAAATGCTAAGTGCAACAAGAGTAGCATGCTACTCCTGTCTTTGAGTGCACAACGTTGAAATGCCTACGTTGGGCACTCAAAGACAGAAGTGGCACGCAGAGGGGGGGAAGCAGTAAAATGTAGTGGGAACCAGTGCCCTCCCATAAAGACCTCTAGGTTGAGCTGCAGCTCCGCTCGGGCTGTGCTGCTGAGCGCTGAGCCTCTCAGAGCTGTTGCTGTTGTTGTTGTTGACCTGGATGCCATTCTGCTTCATCAGCTGCATTAACTCGGACTCCAATGCTGCAATCTGTGGGAGAGAGGCACCGATCAATGTTAATGATCTTCGGGCATTTACCCGTCAAAACAGCGTCCTCAGAGCTCCGAAATAAACGTTGCTCGGGCTTTTACTGGTTTGAAATCGGTTGTAGATTTCGCGCTTTATCTTAAATTCATTTTTCTTCCAGATTTCCACGTTGCAAGACCTGCAGTTCACCTGTTCCCCTTCTATTTTTAGTCAGATTTACAAGAAGTCATTACAAAGATCACTCTGGATATATCTCTGACATCTCTGTAAAAAAAAAAAAAATACAGGAAGGGAGGATGAACAGACAGATAAAATAGAAGAAAAAAACAAACGGACAAAACAAACAGAAAAAAATGGTTTTATGGACGGACCTACAGACATGAATGGATGGAGTGAACTTTTAAAAAATGTGTGAGTAAATTAGTCTGGAAAAGCAAAGATTTTTCCACACTCAAAACGTGAAAATAATTTAAATAAATTCCAGACTTTTGCTTTTTTTCCCCCAGACTGCTTAGAAACACTGAACAGATTAACAGTTTTTGTTCTCGGCCTAATCCTCAATATTCATTATTTACAATGCGCCGCAGCTTGACAGTAGGGACGTGGATTCAGTGTGCCGAGTAATGACAGGGGGCATTCGGGGTGACTGTCCATTCAGCCATGGAGAAAATAAAAGAGAGAGAAAACAAGGGCAGGAAAAGAGGAAACAACACGCACATAATGGGAATAGCTGGAGTGGTTATGTATTTATTATTGTGATATCATCACATCCTAATCAGACATATTGATACAGAACCTTCCATCAGTTTCACACGAAATGTTTTTAGCAGCAGCACAGTGACGAGACTCATCGCTTGCTAATTACTTATCCACACAAACTTCCATGCCGTACAGCTTTGTTCTATCGAAATGAAGACGTTTTCTTCAACAGAGATGAAGACAGTCCCATTACCCTGACTTGCAGTCCCTGGATCTCAGCCAGGTGAGCTTTCTCAGCCTCCTCCAGCCGCCTCCTCTCCACATCCTCCTTCTGGATGAACTCCACCTCTCTGGAAGTACAAGAAACAAACGGGCAGAGCGCCCGGTAGCTGTGTATTAACAGGTGAAAACAGGAGTCTTTTTTTTTTTTTTTTTTTTTTTATTTTTCACAAGTTATGGTTTCACGGCAACAAGCAACACAGCAAGGTATTTTACAATCGCACACAACAAACAGACGAGGTGCGCCTCTCGAAGGAACAAACGGCGTCTTTCTCCCCCCTCCTGTTTGCTTTGCCGTTGCTCTGACAACTCTGCGCCTCCGCTGCGCAGCGCTTTCTTCCGCCACAGACGAGCACGGAGGGTTTTGTTTCATCAATTTACTTCCATTTGGCCTGCAGGGGCCCGAGCCAATTAGAGTCCATCAGAGTGGCTCTGAGCAGTAGAGGTTCTGATGGGGCTGACCGAAAGAATTATGGAGCAGAAGCGCAGGAAGGTCTGAGTGCACTAGACTGCGAGCCCCGGTTCGTACAGCAGAAACGGAATGCGACTAGGAATTTGCCGTGCAGCTTTAAAGTCTGGAGGTACTCATTTTAAACTTACTGTGTACTTAGATTTAGACGCATCTTTCCATTTTCTGGATTCTTCACATTTCCCATTTCAAAAACCGGCATGTTTTCAGACTCCAATTTCAATTTTCCGATAACCGAGCACAAAATAACGTCCTTGGACACGCTTGACCGTTGAGTCAGGACTTAATTTCTCTTTGCTCCACAAAACATCAATTAATGCAACGCTTTTAGCACTTCGTGGCATCTGAGCTCACCGAGACCAGTCGCATTTCAAAATTCGTCGAAGGTTAAGCTTCCTAAAAGACAACAGACGAGTAAGGCGACGTCGGAAATCTGTGCCTTTCGACTGTTTTAAAGGGATGAAACGACGTCCCATTAAGCTAATTTTGTTTCTTTCCATAATGTAAACACTTCAAAAGACTTCAATACTTTAACAGTTTCCTCCGCGCTCGCTCACTCACTTCTGCTGGAAATCCTTAATGAGTTTCTTAGCCTTGTTGTATTTCTTCTCCAGAGCCTGGTACTGAGCCTGGGCCTCCTTCAGATGCTCGTTCACAGTGTGGCAGAGCGTCTGCGCCTCGATCCAGTAGCTCTCCAGCTTCAGCATCCTCTCCTTGTTCTCCTCAATGCTGGCCTTCAGCTGGCTCTTCTCCTTCTCCCAGCGCTGCTTCTCCTTCTCAACGGACGCCAACTGTTGGCGGGCAAACACGGCAATACTTACATTATTTACTCAAAACAGACTCAGTAAAGACAGATGTGTTTAAGTGGAGAAAGCAGCTAAAAGGGGAAAACCTATGGGAATGATGGAAAATGCCATTCAAAACCCGCAGAATGTTACGAGAGGTGACACCAACGAGACAAAGTTGGAAGAAAATCTGACCCGAAAGCTCGAATAGCACCACTTTACTTTTAATGGTAAAAATGGAGCATCATTACATTTTAATAGGCTTTTCAGGCACCACTTTATCCGATCACTTCAGCTGCCAACTCATTAATTTAAGAATTACTGAAATCAATTTGCATACATGCATGGGCTGAAGCCTTCGGACGAGCAGCAAGAGCAGAAATAAACGCCTCAGCATTTAGGGAGAGAAGAGAATCCCAAATAACTGTGTTGTGTTTCCACAGTTTTGCTAAAGGGAGCAACAAATAAAAGAGAAAATGCACGAAAAACAAAGTGTGGAATGAGAGAGACCTGCACAGTAAACTGCATTTGTGTGTTTCTCACACATCTAAAAAAAAAAAAAAAAAAAAAAAAAAAATTTTCTAACACCCAGCCCTTCACTCCCCAAAAACCCCATCAA